TGGCTCCCATCCTGTTGAATGTAAGCATAATGTTCCCATCTTGGAGTTGAAGTGCATATATGCTTTAAAATGACATACGTGAAAAACTCCAATCTTTTAGTGCGTAGGAAAATTTGATGTATGCCTTAGACTCATCAATAAAAGAACATAATAATATAAATGAAGACCAGATAATATAGGAGATGCTGCCAAGGAAGGCTCCTTGTGCTTGGGGAATGGGAATCCAGCAACTAACATCACCTTGAGTTTCAATTGTTGAGGACAAAATTGTAAAGAGGATAACTATAGTGTTCAGGTGACTTAAGCAGGTTTTGAGGGCCTAAACATATTGATATTGACCAAAATGGCTAATGTGGCTTTTAGTCTGTTGCTGCTAAATGAGATCTAGCGCATGAGATTAAGCACGTAGAATGAGAGGGATGCTGATTAGCTCGGTTAATATCCTTGGGGCCTAGAATGCGTGGTAATTAAAAGGGATGGATGCTTCAAATTAGGATAAGTTGTGATGGGAAGCAGAGGTAAATAAAAGGATGAAATCCCTAGTAAAGAAGAAAAAATATCAAAAGGAAAGGATAGAAGAATGGGTTTTGAGGGGAGGATTGGGATTGAGGGAGTAGAAGATGAAGATCGTGGCAAATACTCATTATGGGAAAAAATAAACAGAATAATACAATATATCTAGATTTTTTCAATATTTTTGTTTTTTCCTTTCTTTTATGTTAACTATATGTTGCAAGATTACGACATAAAGACTAAAACTTCCTTGCCTGTTGATCATGTTATCTACTAATATTTTAGGCGCTGCCATTGACTTGGGATTCCATTCGAAAGAAAACTGAGTCCACTTTTTGACTCACTTGTGTATTGATTAGTGATTGAGCATTGAAATTTTTTGAAAATTTCAAAAGAGTTGGAAAATTCAGGAAAATGTTGTGCTAGCAAAGTTTGACTTCTCCAAAGCGTTCTGGAATTTCCTTGGTCTGATTTGTACTTTGCTTAAGAGTCAGAACCTTATCGTGTCACTCGAGCAAATTGGCTATAGAAGTTCAATTTTTAAGTCATTGCTACATACATCTATAACATGGAAAGATGGGAGCATTTTATGGTTTTCAAGGTGAAAGTTATCTCAATTTAGAAGTTTTAGATCTATTACATGGGAAGATGTGATCGAACCAGGAAGCGTGATGACCATAGCTTTGGGAATCATTTGAAGCTCAGAGTCAAGATGTCAAACATATTGTGTTAGAACAAGTATACTATGGTCCATCTTATCATTGAAAAACTATCGTTGTGATGTTATCAATGTCCATTTAGTTGATGAAATGGTTAATGGAGGGGGTGAGACCCATAAGAACTGAACGTAACCCCAGTGGGATGTTGCACTCTCTCCATCACGAATCATCAATTGATTGAATGGTGATGTTGCCTGCTGACCATAGCTTTCCTATAATCATACGGAGCATACTATAGCTTACGCCACGTTTATTGGTGCCATCTTATTTTATCTGGTAATGGTTGGGTCTGCAGCTGGGTGATATTCATTTACCTTCTTGTGGAGCCCCAAATCATTGCATGACATGGGACAGACAAACACACATAGAGCACTCGCATATGGGTGCCTGATTCAATATGTTCTACTCTTGCATGAGCAAGGGGATTTACAGGTAAGTTCGCTACATCAAGAGGAGGAAATCCAGCATGCTACTGGGAATTTATATTGTTCAAGAATACATTGGGGTAGGGTCTATCAGTAAATTAGAAGCATAATTGGGCTCATCCAATCTTTTATTTCATGAACCTATTTAATATCAGTTTGCAGACCGTCTTCTATCAAATAGTTCTTATTTTCTTCTAAAAACTGTTCTACTTCAGCCACCTATTCATCATGAGATGGTCTGCCTATCTGATAAGAGCTTCAGAGGTTGACCAGTGGGCCCTACCTTGGTTGTATTTCTTATTCATGGATTATAATTTTTCTTCAGCAAAAAACATGAGTGCATTGCGACTCCATAGGTGGCCCGACCGCTTCTCTCCCATATAGCCTTCAAAGTTTTATTTTGCAAATAAGATATAATGATGTACACAGATTTTAAATGAAGATCCTACTCTCTTTGGAATTGGGTTTGAGCATCAACTATAGAGCATGGCAATAATGTACTGTTAAATCTTTGTGATGCATGACTGCATAGCTGATAATATGCGCACATAGTTCTCATCTAACAGATATGGCTTCCAAGTAACACAATGATCGTGCTTGGATAGTAAACGTTTTTTCTCAGACAAGAGAGCTTGTGAGCAATAATATGTTATTGGAAAAATAAATCTAGGTGATATGTTTACTGAGGAGCAAAACGAGTTGGTGGAGTCGGCAGCGGAGATGCTTTATGGCCTGATACATGTAAGATACATCCTCACCAGCAAAGGGATGTCTGCTATGGTAAGTACACCTAATTTTTTTTCCTTGAACTGATAAATACATTTTTCAAATCATTGGTAACTTGAATGTGTTCCATTATTTCTGGGGTATATATTATCACAATAACTTTTTGTTGTTGAAATTTTAATTGACAGCTTGACAAGTACAAGAACTACGACTTTGGGAGATGCCCTAGAGTTTACTGCTGCGGTCAGCCCTGTCTCCCTGTTGGTCAATCTGATATTCCAAGATCAAGCACTGTGAAAATCTTTTGCCCCAAGTGTGAGGACATCTACTATCCAAGATCAAAGTACCAGGGCAGTATCCTTAAAGATTCTCTCTCTCTCTCTCTCACACACACACACACACACACACACACACACACACACACACACACGACCCACCCACACATGCACGTGCTTGGACACATGAATTCCTGTGTGTGTGTGCCTGAGAGAGAGAGAGAGAGAGAGAGAGAGAGAGAGAGAGATGTATGGGCATCACTTTGAAGGGTTGCAGATTCATCTATATTCACTTGCATCCTCTCAATAACTTGCATGCATAATCCCATTTTGGCAGAATGTGATTGATGAACTTTCCATCATCAAAGTTTTCTTGACTATCACTGTTAGATATTGATGGGGCTTACTTTGGGACCACCTTCCCTCACCTCTTCCTCATGACATATGGTCACCTGAAGCCACAGAAGGCCTCACAGAACTATGTCCCCAGAATATTTGGTTTCAAGATTCATCGACCATGATACTGTCCTTAGTTCTCTATGGTCTCAATGCTGCTGCGTTTCCTTCGTTCTTCTTCTTTACAAAGTAGAAGAAACAGTTTCAGGGATAGGTCATCAGGAATGGCGCAGAAAAATTCCCATGCAATTTATCCAGGTAATGAATGTGTCTAGAAAGGGAAAATTGACTGGTTAAGCTTGCACACACACTCTCTCTCTATTTTCCTTTTACCTCTCTCTAATTTATCATGTATAAGAGAGCCTTTGTAAGTTCCTCCAGGGTCTTTGAGAGTTGAAGATGGAATTACATTTCATTGTGTCAAAAAAAAAAGGAAAAAGAAAAAATAGTGTGACTGCATCTCTGTGTAGATGGATGGGTCTCATGGTGTCCTTGTTGGAAGTTGCATAATGGGGCTCTCTCTAGTTGTGATCTGTTTTGTCTTATAATTTGAGTTCGCTTGCTTACATAATTTGAGATTCTCCCTCTCTTTCTCTCTCTCTCGATTTCTCGAGTGGTGCCAGAGTGTTACACCACACATGCTCAATCTACTCCTCGAGCGTGCTCTCAAATCCTAATCTTCTGTGCTCCCCATGAACTTCATTTGTGCCTATCCTGTATGTCTGAGAGAGAGAGAGAGAGAGAGAGAGAGAGAGAGATTTGTATGTATATGCGTGTACCACTTTAATGGGTTGAGCAGCTTTCTGGTGCTTTGTTTTCTTGCATTTTTGGATATGAGCATGGTACCCGCGTCTTGTGACTTCCTTGTCCTAACCCGTAGTGCATATGGTCTGGCCCGAACCATGGTTCTGTGGGCCAGGTTGGGATTTGGGCTGTATTCAGGCCAAGATTCAGTCTTTCGGGCCGGGTCTGGGACAGGCTGATACTAACCGTTCTTATTTCAGATTGAGTTAGGTTGGGCTGTATTCAGGCCAAGATTCGGTCTTTTGGGCCGGGTCTGGGATAGACTGATACTAACCGTTCTTATTTCAGATTGAGTCGGGTTGGGTCAGATAGGGCCATGGCCGGCCCAAAAGCCCCAACTCCTGACCTTAGAACCTCTTCTTTTTCAACCGGAAACCCAATCTCTCTCTCTCTCTTTTTCCTTTCAGCCCGAAAGCCAATTTCATTTTCCTTGCAACCCAAAACTCAAATCTCTTTCTTCTTTTCCTTTTAGCCTAAAACACAATCTCTCTCTCCCCATTTCCTTTCATTTTCCTTGCAACCCAAAACTCAATCTCTTTCTTCTTTTCCTTTTAACCTAAAACACAATCTCTCTCCCCATTTCCTTTCAACGTAAAACCCAATCTCTCTCTCTCCCACGCTCCCTGTATCCATGTAAAGAAGGGAGAAACTCCTTTGTTGGATGTGGAGAGAGAGAGACTGATGGGACCTTGATACTGGAAATTAGATAAAAACGAATTGGATTAAAGCAATCAGAGAAGGTAAAAGGGGTTCAAATTGGGGCCATGCCTCTTCCTTGATCATGAAAAGTAAAGTTTATGGGTTAATCAAAAGCAAAAAAATTTATATACGGTTATGACTTTATACATTGGAAGTAAGGCGTGCCTCAAAGATATATTGGAATGGAGTGTTTCGGAGTTAGAAAACCTTTCAATTGATTATCTCGATTTTGAGATGTATGGATATAAATAAAATTAAAATTTTAAGTTTAAAAAAGTGTTTCTTGTAACAAGTAATTTGGACGAACTATTGTAAGTTTTTAAGTATTTATTTATGAGAAAAGTTTATATAGAGCTGAGGTTCTAAACAATCAAATTAAAGCCTACCTTAAAAAGTTTAATTGAAGAGGTTGTTTTGATGCTCAAATATCTGTAAATTGATCATCTTAATATCAAGATGTATAGATATGAAAAAAAAATGGATTTCAAGTTTCGAAAATAATGGATTTAGTAACATGTTTTTGGATTATTAATTTTCAAGTTTTTATAGATTTGTCGATCTACATTATTTTTGAAGCTTTAAACTTTATAAATAAAGATGAAAATATGTTTAAGGCTATCACAGAAATTTCCAATATTGAAACCACATTTCTTGATACTATTTGAAGGTAGGCTGTAATTTGATTGTTTAGAGTCTAGGTTTTATGCAAATCGCACTTTTTATATATCAGCTCAATTGGTACCCTTTTCGAAAATGGATTATATACAATGAGGGCATTTGCGTCTGGTATAAGGAGGTCACAATTACTTACGACCATCCTACATGAAATCTGATAACTTGGTTGTCATAAAGTTCAAAAAAAATTCTTTTGAACTTTGAGCTTGATCAATAGAATAAATGCAACAAGTTAATTTCACTTCTAATGATCAAGATTAATTGTAACCACGCTGTATCAAGGATAAATGGTCTCATTATATGTCTTTTTTTTTCTTTTGAAACACTAAATTTCCTAATCAGGGTTTCTTATACTCAAATACCCATAGTGAGGTTTCCGACATTGAAATACATCTTCTGGCAAAATTTAAAGATGCGACTTGTATATTATAGGGGTGGGCACCTTGTCCAAATCTCATCCCAAAACAAATCAAAATAAGAGCCCTCCGAATTTTATACCCAATATTGTGGTCTCTCTTATCTTCTCACTATTATTTTTTTTTTCATTTTTTTTTTTTGAACTTCTTTTCTTTATTCCTTATTATCCAAAAGAGCCAACACAGAGAATTGGAAAACTTATGAGAGAGATCCTAAAATGGTGGTAACAGAGAGAGAGATTGATAGAGAGATTTTAAAAAAAAGACAGGAAAAAAAAGACAGGAAAAAAAAGAGATATATATTGATAGAGACCCTAAAATGGTGGGGAAGTTCACGAAAGTATGTATTCTTACAATGACATTGGGATATGCTCGGCCTTTTTTTTATGGGTGTGGGTTTTATGATGTCGGGTTTTTTTTTTTTAATGAAGTTTCCTGCAAGTCCAACTCGAAACCCCATTGAAAACATGTTTTGGACATGGAAACTTCTGATGGCATTTAAATAATATATATATATATATATATTAAGTGGGGAGAAGGTGTCTGCTCTTGGTAGAATTGAACCTAGGAGGCACTAACCAATTAAGCTCTGGCTCTTTTTTTTGACACTGAGAAGAATGGAACAAAATAAGTCAAATTTACCAAAGGTCGGACTGGCACTATAGAAAGTTGTGCGAAGAGCTGTGATGTGGGAAGTATGGAAAGAATGCAATAAAAGGACCTTTGAAGGGACGTACCTTTTGATAGGATCCTAAACAATATCAAGCATATAATGTGGAGTTGGATGGATGTTACAAAAGAGGGGCGGAGTATTGTCGAGGTGGATCTCATAATTAATTTGAGGAACTTGTTTCATATGGGATTTGTAAAATGCACACCGATGATTTGATGGATTCCCTCTTTTCAAGGTTGTCTTAACTCAACTTTGATGATAGTTCTTTTGGGAATGCTGGCGAGGCTGGTATAGGAGGTGTTCTAAGAGATTGGAGTGGGCCGGCAATTTTTACCTATAATCTATAGCTTTTTAAGAGTAAGAATCTTGGTGTTTGAAAGGTGATTATTTGAATGTGATTAGATAGTGTATCAAAGAACAACATATCCCGTGGGAGTTGCGTTCTATTGGGTTGCAAATTCTTGTTTTGAGTCAGTCTCTAACAATTACTTTAGAACCTATTTTTGCCGAGGCCAAATGATTTGGCTGATTCTTTGGCTTAAAAATGGCTCTTCCAATCTTCACCGATTTGAAACTTTGAAAACCCCTTTAAAATTACTAAATTATTATTCTCAAAAGGAAAAAGACTTAAATTTTAAGTTTCCTCATGCTTAGATCCACCCTCTAAAAATAGGACAGTCTCTATTCATTCATTGAGACATTGTTTTTTTCAAGGGCATCGAGGGTGCATTTAGAATTTTTATTTTCTTGGGATTAATGTTGGAGTTGAAGACGTTACATCTATAAAATTCGGGGTCCTCAAATTAATCCTAAATGGGATTCTACTTGAGGGAGTAATAGACCGTATACTTCCATAGGAGTATAATATCTTTTGACTAAATTGATGGTCCAGTTATTAGATGGATAATTTTTAAGGACAAATTTTTTATGTTTTTTCTACAACATAAAACTTATATACTTTCCTTTATCCAACCGTTCGTTCTGAATGGAGGGCTAAGATTGCTCAATCACAATGTAATGTCTCTAGACAATTTTATTTTTTAATTTTTTTTCTATAAACTATTTTCACACTAAATTTTGGATGTCCAATCCTCTATTAAACTCGCAGTAACAAAAAATATATAAAAAATATTTCAATAAAAATAAAATGACCAAAAGACCCTTGAAATTTTCAAGGGTTATTTTGGTCATTATATTTTATCGAAAAATTATTTTTAATATTTGTTATAGGTGCGTTCCAATGGGAAGATGACACGTACCAAATTTCATATTCATACAATTTGTATAAAAAAAAGTTAAAAATAAAATATCTTGAGACATCGGATCTAAGATCAAACAGTGAGTGTCTATCTTGATCAAAATTGGACGGCTGGGTGGTAGAGGAAGCATAAATCTTCTATGTTGTAGGGAAAATATAGAAACCTTTTCCAATTTTTAAAGCTTCAAATCCACCTTTTTTTTTTTGTCCAGATCTATGATCATCAAATGAGAGAGGATCAATTTACTGGTTTTTCTTGATTTAAGTTGCAGTTTCAAAAGAAAACTCTTTCTAGTAAGGGATAGTTACGTAAACACATTAGAATAAAGGATTGTATTCTATGAGACTATTTATTTTTAGTACGAGGATATCACAATCACTTTTTGCCAATGGATGTGAAATCTAATAGATGAAAGTGTGTCACAACATTCGAAAAATTTTATTTTGGACTTTGTGCCCAAATAATGGCACATCCACAATCACTCATTTTCAAATCTAACGGTCAATGATGATTGTGACCTCCTTGTTTTAAAAGTAAATGGTCTCATTGTATACATTTTCTTAACATAAAAGCCCACACACCGAATTTCATGAACGTAGACATCATAATATTTTTCATTGACATTATAAATCTTGTTGGTTTTTCTTTTGCATTCATCCCCAAGGAGTATTTTTAGGCTATTTTAAATAAAAATGCACATCTAAGTTAAGCACACAAAGTTTTTAAGGCTGGTTCAAACCAAGTACTTTTACCCATTCTAGCTGGCTGTGTTTACCCTTTTTGAGCTTTCCACTTAAACTAACCAGTACCTCCTGACATATGTTGTACTAGATTTGCACCATACATGGCCAGCCCACTCTCATCTTAATGCTTATTGGTGCTATATCTGAATGTATTCATTTTGAATTCAATGTAGTAACAAAATTTAAGATGTAAATAAAAAAATAAAGAACCTCTATATATAGAAAATTCAATGTAGGGATTTATATAATTTTCCCATCTAATAAAATCTTTGCATTTTGATAATGCCCCTTTCCTCTATATC